TACATTCTCCCGGTAGAGGCACCCTTTTGTATTTTTTTTTTCATAAGGCATTTTTTTTTTCTCCCCCTTGCCGTTTGTTATTTTAAATATTACCCTCCGGCCTTCCTCTTGGGGGGAGGGTCCTTTTTTTGTTAATAGAAAAAGAAAGGGGGGGGCTCCCAGAGAGAGAGAGTTTTTTTTAGAGAGAGAGAGAGAGAGAGAGAGAGAGAGAGAGAGAGAGAGAGAGAGGGGGGGGGGGGGGAGGGCAGCGCCGCCCAAAATTGAACATTCTAAGTCAAGACAATTAATACAACTGTATGTGAAGCTACCAATGTGTAGCTGTCTGAGCCCATAGGTTAGTAATGACACAAATATCACATACAGGAAATATTTGTGTCATGCTTTACTTCTGAATAGTTTCATTAATTTTACAGAACCCCCCCCCCCCCCTCTTCTCCTCCCACACCACCAACAAATCCACATCTAACAGTGTACCAAAGAATGGATCTTGTGTGGTGCTGGTAATCTAGTCACTAGGCTACTAAACTCACAAACTTAAGGTTGTGGGTTAGGTGGTTCGAGGCTCAGCTTGATCCAAATTTGTGTCCTTGGGAAAGGCATTTTACAAGTGTTTTCCTCACTTCACCCAGCTGTGAATGCATAACCCGCCACAGACAACGAAAGACCATGTCATCACTTGTAAAACAGTAGCTTAACCTATGCTTCTTAGAAAGGTGAGATTGACTCAGAAAGCAATCAGGTCTGCTGTGGTATTAATGTAGATTGTAAAGCACACAGCTTGCTGTTGAGTTCGAATTCGCGTTTTAAAAATGCTATTTATGACTTATCATTAGCTAACATAATGCAGATGCCATGACATGGCAATGAAGCAATCAGTACAATACCTAAATTAACTTGCACAGTACATGAACTGCTTTCAGTAAAGAGAAGCATATCCATACTTTTCAATTTAGTACAAGGGAAAAAAAAAGAACAAGGATAGACAAAACAAACGAAGGAAAAGAAAAAGGAAGCTACCACTGGCACCCACCAACAATAATCACAGAAAAACACAAATCTCTAAGCAAACACACAGTGGTCCATACCTTATTTTTCCTGCCATCAATCTCAAAAACTGAAATTTTGTCGCTTCTGTACAGCTCATTACCAGGTGGATGTTTGTACAAGCATTTGGCCTGTGAAAAAACAGTGACATTTTGGTAACAAATACAATAAGTATTTTTGAAAAATTGTGCAAAAGCAGGTAACATTACATATAATCCCCCCCAAAAAATGTTGAAAGGGAACCCTCTATCCCCCCCCCCCCCCCCCCCCCCAATAAACTCAAACAAAAATGAAACCATAAAATCCACAAAATAAATATGAGTCAGTGCCAATCAAACTCATAAAAGTTGTAAGTTGCACAAATTGAGCTATTATTGTCATAAACTATCACTTTTTCTTAACTATAAAAAATTTAATTGAATATCTTACAACGTGAGGAAATGGGGTGTGATGGGTCATTCATAATGCTTAACACTTGTGATCTTGTATATTTCATAAGTTCTTTTAAAATCATATCCAAGAGCAGACCACAACAGTGTACCCACTTAATCAGTAAAAAAGATGCAAAGTTCTGCAAAAACTTACCAGATGCCTTTCTAGACACTTTCCACTTTTGAGGTATTTGAGGCAGTATTCACATATATACATAATAGGGAGGGACGTTAACTCCTGCAATGTAAAAAGAAAAAAACAACAACAAACCATTGGGATTCTTATTAATAAATTCCAGGCATAATTAAGCTTAAATTGAACAGACAGCTTATTTTTTAACCAAATACAATTACTACATTATGTGTTTTGGTTCTTTTTAGTAGAGGGTTTTACGGCACTTGCAAGTGCATAAGGTCATATGAGTGCCAAGGGGTGGGTGTCAACAGAGAAGTCCTTACAGGGAATCATACTTACTCTGCTCACCTCTCTAGCTTCAACAGCACAAGGTCTGCTTCCACTATCAAGGCACCCCGGAAATAGCCGGTCACAAGAGTGACAAACATACAAAAGAAGTAGAGGAAAATTACAATAGTAAGGATTAGGAAAGAAAAAGCAGCAATCCCCTGTTGCAGATCAGGCACAGTTAAGAGCGTGACATGATGAATCAGCCCATTTACAATTCTACTGTGCTTGAACGAGAAATGTCCCCAATTTGGGAATGGCCTAAAGACACTACACTCAGTGGCACTGCCCCGGGGGGTATTGTGTTTAACAAGATACAGGACAAAAAGGGGGTTAACAAAACATGTCAATCAGCGGACACCATGACTAAAACTAAAGTAAGTCAGACACACACTGAAATCTAAATAATACCCCCCCCCCCCCCCCCGGCGGTGCTACTGACTGAAGTGTCTTCAGGCCATTCCCAAACGGGGGACATTAAACATGTTCTTATGCACAGTAGAATTGTAAATGGGCCGATTCATCAATGTCATGCTCAGGGTTGGGTTGATTTAAATCAGTTGATTTTTTAAATTTTTATTCAGTTTTTACATATTTCAACATTCAGAATTCCTTTCCTTGGTTTCATAAAACAGATATAAGGTTAAGTAGACTAATATATAATCATGTTTAAAAGTCTGCTTTCCCTCCTTTCACTGTAAAATAATACAGTATTCAATTGACTTTTTTTTCATAATTGAAATCAGAGCTGGGTTGATTTAAATCAGTTGATTTTTTTATATTTTAATCAACTTGATTTTTAAAATAAAAATCAGTGATTTAAATCACTTTTTAAAAAATGTATTCAGTTTTTACATATTTGAACATTCAGAATTCCTTTCCTTGGTTTTATAAAACAGTATATAAGGTTTAGTAGACTAATATAATCATGCTTAAAAGTCTGCTTTCCCCCCTGTCACTGTAAAATAATACAGTATTCAATTGCCTTTTTTTTCATAACTGAAATCAGGGTTGGGTTGATTTAAATCAGTTGATTTTTAAAAATTTTAATCAACTTGATTTTAAAAATAAAACTCAGTGATTTAAATCACTTAAAAAAAATATATTCTGTTTTTACATCTTTAAATATTCAGAATTCCTTTCCTTGGTTTTATAAAACAGTATATAAGGTTTAGTAGACTAATATAATCATGTTTAAAAGTCTTTTTTTTGTTTTTGTAAAGTGTTTTACGGCGCTCGCAACTGCATAAGGTCATATGAGCGCGCGGGACACACCGAATATTTTCAGTTGGTAGGAAATTTTGAATTTTGCCCGGGTGGCGGCCGAAGCCTACTCTTATCGATTTTAGACCACCAAGGGTTCTTTAACGTGCGCAACTTGCACACGGGCCCTCCGAGATTTTCCGCCCTTGTCCGAGAAGGCTAGGTGTAGATCTTTCCTACCAGAAGATCAGGGGTGTGGCAGAAAGACAGCAGTAAGGAGGAGCCAAGGAGTAGCAGTAGAAAGGCTGCAGAAAGAGTCAGGAGCCCAGAGGAGGGGGCAAAGGGGGTGAGGGGTGGGGGCAGAAAATGGAAATGAAAGCAGACAACAGAATATTGGTAGATAGCAAGAAAGGAGGTGAAAGGAGACAATTTTAGAGAAGAAAATTTTTTGGTCGCTACCCGGATTCGAACCCGGGACCTTTGAAAGAGAGGCCAACACCTTAACCTCTAGGCCACGAGAGCCCCCCCTTAAAAGTCTGCTTCCCCCCCTGTCACTGTAAAATAATACAGTATTCAATTTACTTTTTTTTTAATTATTGAAATTAACATTTTCTTTTTCTTTTTAGACAAACACAAGCGCGGGCGCACACACACACACACTGTAATAAAACGCAAGTTTATCTATGCATAATTACCCCCCCCCCCCCCTTCCTTTTAGACTGACACTTTCTTCATTTCTTGTTTGTAGCCATAATTCACAGATATATATATATATATATATATATATATATATATATATATATATATATAGCAGATTAAGGCTTTCTTTTGCGGTTGTTTAAATTAATCATTAGTTAAAATAAAGACAATGCATTTTGCACTAAAACAACATACTTTTAGCAACCAAAAATCCCAAACTGTGTCGATATTTTTTTTAAAATAAAAAAAATCCGATTTAAATTTAAAAAATCTTGATTTAAATTAAAAAATCGATTTTTTTTTTTTTAATTAAAATTTTTTTTAAAATCACCAACCCTGGTCATGCTCATAACTGTATGGGTCTGAGTCAATGTATAGCCCAGCTGATATATTTTCACCAAACACTCACACATGCATACAAATCAAAACAGAACACTTTGAACTTTTATTTTTGTTCTTGTTGTGAATTTCATTTTGTCATGTCTGGAAATTTTTAGGAAAGTTAAATTCATGCCATTTTTTTTTTAAATCATAAAAAATAAAGTATTAGACTTAGACAACTTAAGTTTTTTTTGTATTAGATTAACCTTGAAAGTAACTTTACTGTGTCAAAAAATAATTACAATAGGGTAAGTCTGAGAGTGGTGGTGGTGTTCTGAAATACTCACAAAAATGCCAGTATTCAGCGCTAGTGACTGGTGAAAGGGCACAGTAGTCAGTGACTTTAAACAGTGAAATTATATAGAAAAAATGCAAGGGGGAAAATGGAAAGTAGCCATCATGGCAGGTTTGACTGTATATATATATAGGTCTGACTGCCTTAAAGGAAACCTGTACAAGATGGAAACCTGTTATAACAGAGCCTCCCCGCTCACTGCTTGATAAATTCCTCTATAATTACTCTATAAAACGGAAACCTGTGTAACTCAGAAATGGAAAGAGAAATTCCTTCCTTTTGGAGGGTTTTTACCAGTCTAAGACAAAAAATGCTTTGCCCACTCAGCCCTGATTTGAAACAAAACAATCAAGTTTGGTTCCATCTGCTCTGACCGTTATGCCATGCCACCAAGCGAAGGAGAGTTGGGGTGCAATTTGGGAGTTGATGTTACTCCTTCCATATGCAGACCAGCCACTCTATGAAATCTAAAAATCAGTATCTCAGGGCAAAAAAAAATCAAGACCCGATGAAAAAATCGGGATCGACGACAAATCACCAGAGTGAGCACTGTGTGTGTGTGTGGGTGAGTGTGTTTATTTTTTTCAAATCCTGTAGTATGACATCAAGCACTCCTAGATCTTGTCCAGGTGTGTTTATAACAACCATGCCAATAAGTCCTGAAAGACCCTTCAATCAGTGTGCATGAACTTAAGTTGACCCTGTCGACAGACTGTCCCTGACACACAGAGAACTCATACACTGAAGTGATGCATGATGCTAACGCGCGATTGAAACAGCTTTACTGACAGGTCTTGATGATGCCCAACTACCCAGAACCTGGATGAAGCTTGTTTTGAAAGTAACAGCAGAACGATGGATCATATCAATAATTTGTATGTCGCTATTGTAACAGTTATCTGACCATCATCTGGGAACTCTGAGAGGAAACAAAAGTGAAAGTACATCTTGAGAATGTCCCAGGTCAGAAAGCCAAATCGATATATGACTTCGGTCATAGCTGAAATAACACGTGTGAGCAAAGATCCAACACAACTTGGGGTGAAGCAACTACTAAATCCAGAAAATGCTGTTCCCAGTTACTGCTGACAAAAAGTTCAACAGGTGCTTCTCGCGACAGAGGAGTTTTTAGAAAACCCCCCTCCCACAGATAAACGCGATCGAAATCGGGGAAAAAGGGATGATTGAGATTTGGGAAAAAAATCGGGATATCCAGATTAAATAGGGGTGAGTGGCAGCTCTGCATATGAGTCCTTAGCAGTGCAGATGGTGAGGATGGTGTGGGTGTGAAATCTCACCAGTGTCTGTGAACCTGCTTGAGTGCCGCTCCAGCATGGAAACATTCATGGGCAGAGAGACACCAGATGTGTGAAATTAGTTTGACTAGTGCCTGAAGCCCTGATCGTACGGCCAGCCGAGAAAAGAGTTCCTCGAATCATTGATACATGCACAGAAGGGGTGGCATTTGTTGACTGTGCTTATTACACAAAACCGATGGGTGGGGCTAAGGGTGGAAACAATGATGTTTAACGTTTCTGCTTTTAATAGGTCAATCAGTGGTCCTATGATTGAAATGTAAGCACAAGTGACAAACGCCCAGCCGGTGGGATCAAGGATCGCTTGTCCGATCGGCAAGCAGTGGTCAAAACTTCACCATACCTGCCAAAATCTGTAGTTGACACAAATTTTTGTCCCAAAATCTGTAGTTGACCTAAAAAATCTGTAGTTGACCTAAAAAAATCTGTAGTAGGCTATATTACTACTTGCCGTATACTTAATTGGGGACACTTACCAATATTTTGACCCACATCAAATATGCATGAATATGTTTGCGACTTCAAACAAATGTAGAAAATGACAACAACAACAACAACAACAACAAAAAAAAGAAAAGAAAAAAAGACAAAATTATATGAAAACTTCCAGATGCATTTACCCCATACAGCCGTTCCTGTCCTATTCATACATGCACACACACACACACACACAAATGGAAAAAAAAGAGAAAAGAACAGAAGCAAAGAAGAAAGGGGACGGCCTTGGATGACTCAGGCCGAGCCTTGGCCCTTTGCCTTTGCAGAGTTTACAAGGAAAGAGTACCACGGATCCCGATTCCACACAAGGCCTGCTCCAACACGCGTTTTGCACACAGCTCTAGATCTAGTAGTAATAAAAATTTAGAATACTAATATTTGTT